ATAAAAGATAGATAATAGGAAACAGGGAGATGGATTTTTTGTAAAAGAACACTGCTCCACTGCTGGTGGGAGTGTAGACTGGTGCAACCACTGTGGAAATCAGTATGGAGATACCTCAAAGAACTCGGACTGGAAGTCCCATTTGACCCCGCTATTCCACTGCTGGGGATCGTCCCCAAAGAATTAAAAGAATCATACCACAGTGATATATGTGCACCCATGTTCATAGCGGCACAGTTTGTGATAGCTAAAACTTGGAAACAGCCCAAATGCCCATCAACTGGAGACTGGATAAAGAAAATGTGGGGTTTTTTAATAAAATGGAGTACTATTCAGCCATAAAAAATGAGAAATTAGAGACATTTATAGCTAAATGGATGCACATTGAGGCGATACACTTAAGTGAAATAAATAGGACACACATGTATAAATACCGAATAGCTTCTCTGGTGTGAGAAACTGAAAGTGTAAATAAGGACTAAAATGTATAATAGATAATGTGAAATAAGAAGAAAAGGGGCAAAGGGGAAGGGGAAGTGGGAGGGGTAGGGGAAAGGAAAGAAGAGTATGGAATTAATATGAGAAAATGGAAAAATGGAAACAAAATCTTTGTAAATAGGGAGGGATGGAGGGGTTGAAGGGAGGGCTGTGCAAGGGTGAAAAATAAGAACCAAGAGAGAGTATGTAAAGGTGCAAATTTCCAATGATGAATGTCATTATATTGTATACCTAAAATGTACCAATGATTAGAATGAATAATCGATAATGTAAAATAGGAAGAAAAGGTCCAAAGGGGTAGGGGTAGTGGGAGGGGCAGGGGAAAGGAAAGAAGGGAAAGGAAAAATGCTGAGAAATGGAAAAAATGGAAATAAAGTCTTTGTAAATAGGGAAGGGTGGAGGGGGTGAAGGGAGGGCTAGGAATGGGGAAAAAATAAGAACCAAGATGCATCATGTAACGGTACAAGTTCCCAATGAGAAACATAAATGTGTTGTATACCTAAAATGTACCAATAAAAGAATTTAAGGAAAAAAAAAAAAAAGAAAAGAGGACCGAGAGATGGAGGAAGGGAAGAGGGAGGGGATAAAAGAGAATTAAGATGTGTTACACACATACACACAAAAAAAGATGTGTTACACAGATGTACCAACTCCCCGCATTGAATGTAATCATTGTGTACTACAAACATATACTAATTAAAAACATTTTAGAAATAGAAATAAATTTAAAAATAAAGCTAATCATTAGTGTGTAGTGTGTTTACAAAAGAGAAATATTACATACTTCAACAAGAAAAAAAATAATATACCATATCTAAGAGTTCTGGAAAGATGGAAAATAAGGGTAGAATTTCCTGACATTTCTTTATTTTCTAAAGATGATAGCCAAGTGGGATGGCACATGCTTGTACTCCCAGCACTTGGGAGGCTGAGGCAAGGGGATCATCATGAGTTCAAGGCCAGCCTGAACTACATAGTGTCACTTTGTATCAAAAAAAAACAAAAGAAATAAAGACAATAAATAAAGAAATTGAGGCTAAATTATTATCCTATTTGAAACTATTAAGTTAGCGAAGCAAAATGGCAATATTAACAATAAAGAGAAAATACAGGGCCAGGGATTTAGCTCAGTGGCACCACGCCTGCCTCACAAGCACAAGGATCTGAGTTTGATCCCCGGTACCAGAAAAAGAGAGAGAGAGAGAGAGAGAGAGAGGGAGGGAGGGAGGGAGGGAGGGAGAAAATACATATGTCAATTTTCCCACCCATTTCACCCATTTCAATAGTCAATAGGTAACTGATAGAGGCTAAAACTATTATATGAAGTTATTGGATAAATTTCCAAAAGACCTAAAATGTAGATCGTAAATATTTGATATTATCACAGGAAAATTAAACTCATTCCCAAAGACAATCTGTGGGGTAGGGGATGAGGGAAAGGGAGGAAGCATTAAAACCAGAAAATATAATATAAAATACATTACAATTGAAAATACCTATATATTAATAAACATAGAATTCTTTAAGAGGGCAAAATATAGGAAAAGAATCTGGCAAAATTACTGAATGTCACATTTAAAGCAAAGAGTCTCTTTATGACTCAGAGAAGCTAAAAAAAATTTTAAAACAGAGAGAATCATAGTATTAATATCAGAAAAGAGTAAACGCAGATGAATATCAAAAACATAAAGAATTATTTTACATCTAACAATAATAACTGAGCAATTATTAGGCACCAATTACTATTCTACACATTGTTAGAATGACCTGCGTTTAACTTAATAATGAGTTTATAAGTGTCATAAATCTTTAGCACCAAAAGCAAAATATTAAAATCCATGAAAACATAAACTTCTAGAAGAAATCAAGGAAACACAAAAACACTAATGAGCATTGTTAACCACGACAGAACAAGGCAATAACACAATACGAAATATACACTAATACAATCAGTAGGGTTTGCTCAGGAGATGCATCTCAACATGCATTTCCAACATAAAGCTTCTTTTCATGCACTGATGTGATACTTTAATTTTAAAAATAAAGAATACATTAGGCCACAAAGTAAGGCTGCAATACATACAGGAAGACAGAATTAGAACAATCTTCCTTGGCCACACTGTAATAAAAATAAATGTTAATAATACATTTTTTTAAATAATAAAAATAAAAAAGCTAATCACCTAAAAAATGTTAAACTCTCTCAGATTTTGATTCATGAAACTAAAAGTAGAGTATCTATATATAAAAAACAACAATACTAAAGAATACTACCTTCTAAAAAGCTTGGGAAACTGGGCCTCAGTTAAAACTTGACAGTACTAAACATTTTATCAAGGAAATATAATAAAAACAAAATAAATAAACATACTATTCAAGAATTTGACAAAATGCTATTAAAATTCTATAAAATTAAATACATTAAAACATAAAAATTCTGAGGGAACAAAAGGATTAGAGAATTTAAACCAAACAGATATGAAGACATGCCACACAGTTACAATGACAAAACATTATGCTAAAGGAGGGAAAAAAACAGGTAGGTAAGCCAGGTATGGTGGCACATGCCTGTGATCCCAGCACTCAGGAGGCTGAGGCAGGAGGATTGCCTGGAGTTTGAGGCCTGCATGGGCTATATAGTGAGTTCAGGGCCAGCCTGAACCACAAGGGAAACCTTGCCTTAAAAAAGCAAAACAAAACAAACAAACAAACAAACAAAGAACAGGTAGCTAGAACACAACAGTATCCAACAGTAGACTCTAATAAAAGAAAACAGCATTTATGATAAGGATCACATTTAAAATCAATAGACAAAAAATGAACTAAATAATACTATTCGATAAATAGTGCTGACTTAACTTTCTGGCCAAATATTTTAGAAAGTAGTTAAGCCAGATTCTTACCTCACTCCTTTCATCAAAATAGATTAGAATGGATCAAAAAATATAGAGATGAATATATGAAGATCTTGGGCAAGAGATCTTCCTAAGTAAAATATAAAATCCCAAAGACATAGGAAAATAATTGATAAAAATAACTGCATAAAAATACAAAACTTCTCTACAACCAAAAATGTTTTCTTGGGCTGGGGATTTAGCTCAGTGGCACCGCATCTGCCTCGCAAGTGCAAGGTCCTGAGTTCGATCCCCAGTACCAAAAAATAAAATATAAATAAATAAATAAATAAAATAAAAATGTTTTCTTTTTTTAAAAAAATGTTTTCTTAAGTACTAATATTTTTCCAAAAACTAACTAGAGAAACATTTTTGCATCCAGATTTTTATTTTATTTTATCAAGATATATGCAATAAGAAAAGAAAAGAATCAACCTGGTAGAATAAAAAATTCAAATGTATGCTAAAAAAAAAAAGACACTAAATCTCAATCATAAGTTTTAAAGTACAAATAAAATTATTGCGATACCACGTATCTCCTGTCTGACAAGATTTTTTAAAGTTTGATAACATTTAGTATGGGGAAGAATCTAGAGGAATAAGCGTGCTGGGATAGAATGAGTGATAGTATAAACAAGCATAATCTTTTTGAGGATTAACTAGTCAAACTCTTCCGAATGCCCATATCCTTAGTCTCTACAATTTTATAATTCTATAGGCATTTATCCTATGTGTTTAATCAAAAAACATTTTTTTAAAAAAAGGCTAATCGTATTAACAAACTGTAAAAGAAAAACCATTGGGTCATTTCAATAGATGGAGAAAGAGCACTTGAAAAAATTCATCATCCATTCAGGAATTTAAAAGAAAGTTAATAGACTCGAAATAGAGGGAAATGTCTTTAACCTGATACAGGTGTCTAAGAAAGCCTACAGTTAACATCACACTTAATGGTAAAAAAACACAATATTTTACTTTAAGATCAGGAACAAAGCAAGGATGTAAGCAAATACTCTACCACTTAGCCACAAATCCAGCCCCCACAGAAACTCCTAAATTTTAGGGAGAAATACGAGGAGTTTAAAATATTGTAAAAGAGCAATTTAATATAATTGTGAAAATTTATACCGTTCTACAGAGGTCATATTTTTGCTGATATACGTATTATTCTATTTTAAAAGACAAATCTTTTTTTTTAAAGGCAAAAGCAGAAAAAGAGACCTCTAGGAGGAGATAATTCTGGCTTAGATTGGTGCTGAAGTCACAGGCCAGTAGAAACCACTTGAAGTAGTAGAAGTCCACTCAGAGAAGAAAAGGCAAACAGAGAAAGAAGTGGAAGGAACCACATCAGGAGTCCAAGACAGGGAGGACTGGTGAGTGAGTTCGCTATGAATCCTACTCCCCGCGCCTCTAATGTCTGCTAAGCTTTGTTTTCAGTCCTTGGATTCCATAAAATTTCCTACTGTGTCCTTCTCTGAAGCCCCCCTTTTCATGATCTGATTTGAGTTTCTCACAAGCTGATTCTAGTCCCTTAAAACCCCAGAAGGGCCTGGCCTGCACCCTTGTGGAATACCCTGAATTAGTCCCTCACGGAAGTGCAGCCCTTACCTTGGTGAAAGAAAGCAACCTGTAGCCTGTGCTCTGTGAACTTCTGCAGTTACCCAAGCCTAGTGAGAGTGATTTAAATAGAAACCTGTCCAGCAACATTTTATACTCAAAAATTTATGATGAGCATTTCCATTTCTGAGCACATGATTGAGACTGTTCCTTCTAGAGGCTACAGTGTGTTGTGTCTGAATCACAAATCGCAGAAGATTGCTTTCAACCCTAGAGAACAGCTTGTAGAAAAAAGAAGCCAGAAAATTGAACAGAAGAAATTTATACAAATAATAAATATAATAAATACCCAGAGAAACACAAAATAAGAAAACACTTAGCACACAACTATGAGAAAACCAGAGAACAATTCTGAACCAACATATAAGCAAGTGCACGTGGGATGGGTAAGGCTGGACAGAGTAGGAACTGGCTTTTTCACAGCCTGTCTGCACACTGCCAGACAGTGCCTGCTGTAGTACGGCTCAAACAGCATCTCTTCTAGGAGCCTCCCTAATTCTCCCACTGCAGATGATCCTTCCCTAAGGTCTCGCTGATCAGGCACTCCTTTCCTAGCAGTGATCACATTGCCCAGTGTCTATTTGTTCACACATTGGTCTTCTCTACCAGTGAGTTCCCTCAGAAGAGAGGTCATGCCTTACTTAGTAATTTTTCTACCCTATAGACAAATACCCATTACATAAGTGCTCAATAAATGCTAGAAATGGGAATAAATATCAACACTTTAAAAGCCAATGAAGTTTTTTATGAGAAAAAGTTGCAGTTTCATACAATATTACCAAAATAAAGGAAAATAGAACTATTACAAGTTATACAATATCTCCATCCAAAACAATCACTCTTACCTGCAAACATCACTGTAGACACACACACAAACGCACATGTGTGTGTGTACATAATACACGCACATAAGGGTACAGAGGCCCGGGGATTTAGCTCAGTGATTCCGGCGCTTGCCTTGCAAGCACAAGGTCCCAAGTTTGATCACCAGTACCAAAACACACACACACACACACACACACACACACACATAAGGGTACAGAGCTGTTTCTGTTCATTTTACAAGGCAGGGGATCTGACTTCTAGCCCACTCACACTATTAAATTGCTGTTTCAAGTGTTTCTTTCAATCATAAAATGCAGTGACCTTTCTTAGTCCTTGTCATCATCCTCTACAGCATTAGCCATTGTTCAGTGGTTCTGTCTTTCTAAAACATTCCCATCCCTTTGTTTGCTTTGCATCTTACTTTCCTTACTTTTCCTTGCACCTTACTTTTCTGTACCTCCACTACCTGCATCAGATTCCATTCTCCCCTAAACATGGACATTCAACCAAAGCCCTGCCTTCAGTCTTCCTCTTCTCTTCTAAATGTATTATCTGTACCTAAGACTTTAATCATTGTGTCCTGCCAGTGGCCGGCTCTCTTTAGCACAATTTCTTCTCCCAAGCTCCAGTCCAAGATTACAGTTTTGTCTTTCTCAGTTGCAGTTACCCTCTATGAATTGCAGTCCAAAAATATTAAATGGAAAATTCCACAAATAAACAATTCATAAGTTTTAAATGTCATGCTGTTTTGAGTAGCATGATGAAATCTCCTGGCATCCTGCTCCATCTCACCCAGGACATCAATAATCCCTCTGTTTTCTGTATCCATGTTATATATGCTATACACCATTAGTTATTTGTGGCCATATGATAGGGGAGATGAAATATGACAATATTATATCTCCCAACCTGTTAGATATCTGATACACCAAGCCCGTGTTCTCTAAAAATAGAAGAATGAATTTTAGGAACAACAGAGGTTAAGAGTAGGAAATATTTATTGAGAAGATAGCTCTTGAGAGGCAGGAGGGGACTCTTTTTTTTTTTTTTTGGTACCGGGGATCGAACTCAGGACCTTGTACTTTCAAGGCAGGCGTGGTGCCACTGAGCTAACTCCCCAGCCCTAGGACTTCTTTTTTTTATAGAGCAAAACCCACATGGGTAAAACATGGGTTACAGCTATGATTAGCCAATAAGGTTACAAGTACAATTGCTTAGATAATAGTGATCCAATGGGGAAAAAAGTCATATAACGAGTATGCATGAAAAGAACAAAGATTTTCCTAGGAAATGATGGGTCCAAAGGTCTTAGACACCCACCAGGGTGACTGATGTCTATCTAGACTTCACTGGGCCCGGTATTTGCCTGTTGAGGATGTGTGTAGGCCTAGTCATTTTGTCTTTATCTTGAGCCCTGGTCTCCAACAGATGTGTCTCTGGCCATGGGTGTGATGTGTTTCACCTTTGTCCTCACTCTCTCAAGGGCCTAGTCCTATCTGACTACTTATATATTTCTATCTAACTTGGCTCTCTGTAACACTATCTGTCCATTAGTTAACAGTAGCCATCTCTGTTATCAGATTGAGGGTCAGTATTGCAGTGCTGATGTTCAGAAAACCCTTATGTAGTAGCCTAAGTCATTCACGACACTTTACTGTGGAGTTAAGCACTACAAAAAAGAGAGTAATAAATGTAATAAATAAGGAGGGAACAAGCTGGGTATGGTGACCCATGCCTATAACCCATCACTCTGGGAGGCTGAGGCAGGAAGATCCAAAGTTCAAACCTAGCCTGGGCAATGCAGAGTCTTAGGGAGACCCTGTCTCAAAATAAAAAGTAAAAAGTGAGCAGGGCATAGTTCAGTGTGAAGGCCCTAAATTCAATCCCCAGTATCCTCCCCCCACCAAACTAAAGAAGGAAGGGAGGCAGTCCCTCTGGCTAGAAGGATCCAGGGGTGGCAGTTCCTTCCTCAAAGAGGAAGCCAGAGCTGAGCACACAGAGGCAGGCAGAGGAAGCAAATGGAAAGGCTGGAAAATGGAGGTTGCCATAATTGGGAAAATTTGGGGAAATTCAGCAACTCTCATAAAAGTCCCCCAGCAGCTTATTTAATAGCAGATTCTGGAACCATTCCCAGTTCTGTGTCAATAGCAGGTAGAAGAATCCATATTTTATCAAGTCTCCCTAAGCACAGTGGACCCTCAAGTTATGACCAGCCTGACATATGAACAACTTGGGTTAATTGGGTTAATGGAGGATTCATCTGCCTCTTGTTATCTATTGCATGTACCCAGGTAATCATCCAGATCTCAGCTGTATTGACTTACAGGCAACTTGAGTTACAACCCACCCTTGGGAACCAATGAAGTTCATAAATCAAGGGTCTACTGTAATCCTAAAGCAGTTGTTTCCCACTCCCACCACCACCACTGCCTCTTCTACTTTGAGAAACACAATAAGGATAAGTTAAAACCACTCTGGGAACAGCAGACCCTCCTATTATTCTTTCTCATACAATCTCACTTGTTTTGCTATAGCACTCACTGCTATTAGTAATAGTATTTGTATATCTATTTGTTTCCTTACTATGGTTTTGGCCCATAGACTATTAAGTCAGGGAAATAAAGCAAGTGCTCAATAAATATTGACTGAATCTTCAAAAGTAGAGCACGGACTGAATTTTAGAGGCCTTGAATACTCTACTAAGTATTTGAACCTTAGTTTATAATAAAGCCACTTTGCCTCTCTGTGCCTTATGGGGTTTTTCTCTGTAAAATATGGACAATAATGTTTTCTCTATTGAGTTGTTCTATGGTTTAATGGAATAAACATGTACATACTTCTTATACTTACTTCTGGTTCATAGCAAACACTCAATAAATGTTCATTATTATCATTAGCGAGTACAAAACTATCGAAGTTTCTGAACAGAATAGCAATCTCAGGAAGACTAACCTGGCAAGAGTATGTAAGGATGAACTGAAAGGCCCTAACTGGAAGGTGAACCAGGAGGTGACTGCGGATTGTAGTTACAGTTACAGGCCTTGAGCTAAGGCGTAAGTCTTAGGAAGAGAGCGGCAGTGATAGCTGAGAAGGAAATAACACCAGTAAAAATCAATAGGTTGAGGGTACAACATAGGGTAGAAAAATCAAAGGAGAAAAACAGAGTCAAAATCCATGGTAAAATGCTAAACTTGAATAATTAGAAGACTGGCAGAACTAGGGAGCCCTGGAAGAGGCCCAGGGAGTGGGGACTGAGTTCAGTTTGAGACCTACTGGGTTGGAGGTTCCAGTGGAAAATAGATGAGATGCAACAAGGAAGCAGAATTGCAGCTTAGGAGAGACAAGGTGCAGGAGGACTAATTGGAATCCACACATCCCCCATGGGTTTCCAAGGGAGAGAGGAAGGGCAGGGATCAATTCTTATCAGCTCTTCCCAGGTAGGGGGTGTGGGGTGTAGATGAAGAGCCAGAGGAGGGCCTCACAGGAAGAAAGGGAGAGAACGGAAAGAGCAGATGGGCCAGTGAGTTTCAGGAAGTGGGGCAACACTGGAGCTAAATGCCCTTGAGCAAGTAATGAAGAGGAGGAGGGTTAAGGGAAAGTCCAGAATTTTGCCTTCAGAAGAATTCCAAGGAGGGCTGTCAGATCTGAGGAGGCTCCAGGTAAGGATGTAGAAAGAATGGCCAGGATTTCAACCGCATCATCTTTGAACTGCAAGCAAGGGATCCTAAATGGTACCTGGGAGGCATCATCAACCCTGTCCCCAGAGCTGCACCTCATGGGTAGCTGGACCCAGGGCTGTGGCTCAGCTTGGGGTGTGGCTTGGAGCTTCAGGGCCTCCTGGGCCCACAGAGCTGGCAAGGAAAGATAAGTGGTATGGGCTGGACACTTTTTTAATGGTTTAGAAAAAAATCAGATAAAAGTCATAGTTTTCATGGACTGGTGGCAGAGCTATTTGTCACTTTAATCTCTTAACTTTTGCGAAATAGCTTTTGTGGATTACAAAGTCTCATTTAACCACCTAAAGATAGATTTCATTTGTGGAAATGACTAAACTTTACAAAAATCATAACTGAAAAAGCATTAATAAACAGAACCCACTCTGTAAAATCCTTGCTTTCACTTAGTGAAACAGTCCTATTCTTCCATGGAGATATCAAATGCTCCAGGGTGAAAAGTCACCAAGCTATATCACA